CTGCACCCTGCCAGGATTGCTAATATTACTTCCCAATCTGTCTAACCCCGCCTCTACCCAGCCCCACCTCACCTCTGCTCTCCCACCCCCACCTCTACCAAATATTCACTGCTCCAGACCCTAACCTTGGGGTTGCAGTTACTGTAACTAGCCCATCATCCTTCCATCCTTCAGCCAAATTACTTGAGGGGCTAGGAGATATTCTACCCCATTCGACACCACAGCTTTTGAATAGTGTTATTATCTCCATTTTAACTATGAGAAAATGGAGGCAGAGGGAGCTGGCAACTGTCCAGATTTACCCAGAACCATGACTTGAACTGAGGATTTATGATTCTAAATCCTATACTCCTCCTAATCAGTTAGAAAATGATTGAATATTGCTAACCATTTACAATAATAATAAAAACCATAACATGTAGCAGTTACCATTAAAAAGTATAAGAACTTTATGGATAAAAGGGGAAACTTTATTAAAATACATAAATGAACACCTCAGAAAGTGAAGAGACACATTCACAAATGGGGCATCTTAATATAATGAAGAAGCCAATTTCTCCCCATACCACTAACCTAAATGCTGTCCTAACCAAATCACAGCAAGATTTGGGAAGAATCTGATAAAGTGATTCTAAAATGTACATGGAAATCAAACCCATGAGTATTTTAGACAATTTTGATAAAGAATGGCAAAATGGGGTTTTTGGAGAGGTGAAGTGATGAGGACATGGAAAACAGCCCTACCAAATATTAAGACATAAGAAAAGCCATAATCATTAAAACAATATGATACTGACATAGGAACTGACAAGCCAATGGACTGAATAATTCAGAGACAAATCCATGCCCACAGGGAAACTTAGTATAAAATCCCTGGGAATATGCAAAGTGAAGTAAGTCAGACAAAGACAGATAAGAAATAATCTGTCTTATATGCAGAATCTAAAAAATAAAAAATAAAAAAAAGAGTTTATAGATACAGAGAACAGACTGCTGGTTGTGGGACTGGAGGGAGAAATTAATGGAATGTTTTTTGGAGTCTATTTTAGTTGAAATAGATTATTTTCTTTTTTTTTTTTGAATGTTTTATTCATTTCTAGGAGAGAGAGAGAGACAGCGTGAGCAGGGGAGGGTCAGAGAGAGAGGGAGTCACAGACTCTGAAACAGGCTCCAGGCTCTGAGCTGGCAGTCAGTACAGAGCCCAACATGGGGCTCGAACCCACCGACCGTGAGATCATGACCTAAGTGAAAGTCGGACGCTTAACCGACTAAGTCACCCAGGCACCCCTATCCTTTTTTAAATTTTTATTTGAGAGAGATAGAGAACACAAATGCGAGTGGAAGAGGGGCAAAGGGACAGAGAGAGAGAGAGTCTTAAGTAGGCTCTGTGGGAGCCCAACAAAGGGCTCAATGTGGAGCTTGAGGCAGGGCTGGATCCCACTACCCTGTGATCATGACCTGTNATAGATTATTTTCTAAAATAAAAGAATTTGGAAGTCACTCACAAAATCAAAAAATACATTAAAAGAATAAAATTAAAATTGTTTCATTCAATATGAGTGGAAACAGCAATATCCCTACAATAATATGTTATAAAATATGTGATTTTAATTTTGTGAGTTAGTAACTGAATAAAGGTTGCTACGAGACATTTGACTATTTCTTTATAACTTCTCAAGCATTATATATTGAAATTGGTCCAAAATTTTGTGAAATATCCTAATCAAGAAAATTGTCTATCATTTTATCACTTTATATTCCAGCAAAAATTGTAACTTTACTGCCTTGAGGTTGGAAAGAAATTCTTAAGATCATAAAACACAAACCATGAGCGTTCTTACTGTCAAATTTAAATAATTCTATTCAGGTAGATAAAGAAGATATATATATATATACATACATACAATGGAGTGTTACTCAACAATCAAAAAGAATGAAAACTTGCCATTTGAAACTACATGGATGGAACTAGAGGATATTATGCTAAGTGAAATTAGTCATTCAGAGAAGACAAATATCATATGACTTCACTCATATGAGGACTTTAAGATACAAAACAAAAGGGAAGGGAAGCAAAAATAATATAAAAACAGTGAGGGGGACAAAAACACAAGAAACCTTTAAATATGGAGAACAAACAGAGGATTGTTGGAGGGATTCTGGGAGAGGGGATGGTCTAAACGGGTAAGGCGCATTAAGGAATCTACTCCTGAAATCATTGTTGCACTATATGCTAACTAACTTGGATGTAAATTTAAAAAATAAATTAAATTTTAAAATAATAAATAAATATTTCCATTCAGGGAAGGAATATGTACAAATTTAACTGAAGAGCAGCAAACTAGAAGAAGACATTTGCAATATTTATACTGACATAAAAATGTTACATGGACTATATAAGAAATCCCCACAAATTCACAAGAAGACAAGAAAATGTAATTTTAAAAATAGACAAAAGATATGAATCAGCAACTCACATAGAGAGAAACCCATGAAAAGATGACCAATCTCAGCAGTAATACAGGAAAGGCAAATTAAAAGGAAATACCACTTTATATCAACCCAGTTACCAACATTTGAAAGTCACATAATTTCAAGTGTTAGTGATGATAAAGGAAAATGAGAACCACCTTGGTCTGCTGATGAAAGGATAAACTGTTTATGATCCTTGAATTGTATAAATTACAAGCTAGTTGTGTGAAAAAAAATTACATATGAAACAAGGCAGCTTGTCCTTGAGAGGATAGTCTGAGGTGAAGTGCATTAAGTCTTAGAAAAATCTCAGTAAAGATCAGTTAAGGTTGCAGGAGGGGCGCTAGGCTAGCTCAGTGGGAAGAGCATGTGACTGAGACGGAAGCTTGATCTCAAGCTCTTGAGTTCAAGATCCACGTTGGGTGTGGTTAGTAAATAAACATAAAAAAAAAAAAAGGCTACAGGATTAGGGATATGTTCTTGGAAGGAATGGAACTTGGGTTGGAGTTGGTTAAAATGGGAACAAGGGAAGCAGAATGCAGAAGGTATTCCAGTGAGAGGAAAAGCCTGGACAAGTGCCCTAAGGTGAACACAGACATGATACTGTCAAGAAAGAGCGATGAAACTGGATTCCTTCAAAAACAGGATTCCTGCTGGGAAAAGGGACACCAGAGACCATGGAGAGGGTCTCCAATGCTTCTCGAGGATTGCAAGAGACAGTATCATAAAATGTTTGATCAGACAGCATCTAACACAAGCCTATCATTTCACAGTTGAGGAATTTGAGGTGATGTGACTTGTCTAAATTTACACAGCATAATAAAAGCAGTTTGAAGACTTGACTGGCAAGAAACCTCTGGATAAGTTGGAAAACAGAAATCAGGAAGAACTATAAAGCAATAAGAGACAGATGTAGAATGGTAAAGAGAAAAGAAAAAGAAAAACATCTTAAAGAGAGAAACTGCAATACTTGAACATAGGTTCCAGAAAAGAGAAACTCAATGATGATGCAAAATTCCCTGTGGAAACCCTTGCTCAATTATTGAGCAACTTTTCCATGTGCCGAACACTATTCTAAGCCTTCTACAGATAATAACTTATTTAGGCTTCACAACAGCCCAGTTATCATTACTCTTTTCAGAGAAAATAATATGAAGGCACAGAGAGGTTAGGTAACTTGCCCAAGGGCACACAGGTAAAATTTTTACAGTCGCAAATGGATTCCCAGCAGTCTGATTTTTGAGAACATACTCTTAAGAAGTAGGCATGCGGCTATTAAAAATGAGATGGTTTAGGAGCACCTGGGTAGCTCAGTCGGTTGAGTGTCCGACTTCAGCTCAGGTCGTGATTTCATGTTTCATGGATTGAGCCCCATGTCTGGCTCTGTGCCGACAGTTCAGAGCCTAGAGCCTGCTTCAGATTCCGTGCCTCCCTCCCTCTTTGCCTCTCCTCCACTCGCACTCTGTTTCTTTTCCTCTTTCAAAAATAAAATTAACATTAAAAAACTTTTTTAAAGAAATGAGATGGTTTAGGGACGCCTGGGTGGCTCAGTCAGTTAAGCACCTGACTCTTGATTTTGGCTCAGGTTTGTGTGTTCAAGCCCCTCGTCAAGCTCTGCGCTGACAGCACTGAGCCTACTTGAGGTTCTCTCTCTCCTTCTCTCCCTCCTCCCCTGCTCATACACATACACTCTTAAAATAAATAAACTTTTTTAAAAAGGAAAAAAGAAAAGAAAGAAATGAGATGGTTTGGAGGAGGTGCCAATTCCTGGGAATTGGATATTTCCCCTTAGATTAGATGCTGGTACAATGTGAAGAACAGACTCTCTGACCAATGCCAAAATAATTTCACTCTTGACTTTAATTCCACCCCCTCCTCCAAAGCAACTCCCAGGCCCTGAGGAAAGCAAGATGCAAAGTAATATGACAGTAAGAAAGCGTATGCAATGGAATTTACGACCAGTAGTCACATGTCCCTCACCCCCACTATCTGCTCATAGCAGCATCTACCACAGTTCTCCTTGGATGATCCACTCAAGCCAAAGAACAAATCATTGGAGGGATACATGAACTGTGGGCCCTTCCAGGCTGTTCACACCTCACTTCAGGAGCTTGAATATACAGCTGTCACAGAACCGACATGACTGAGTTAGAATAGCATTTAAAAGCTGATTTTTTCCCCCACTCCTGAGCTCCTGTTTTCCCAGCTATGGTAAAGGTTGAAGGGAGTTACATACTTCTCAAGGCAGCCAATACTAGCCATAAGCATTTTCGTAAACAGTAAAATGAAAAAGAAAAAAAAATCCGCAATCAGCTTTCTCCACTGTTTTGTGTATAGATTGTCAGAAAGTAGCTCTGCCTTCATTTGTTCCATATTTTGCACAAACTGGTAGGAGTAAAAGCCATCATACGGTGCTGAGACCAGGGAACATGAGTTGGCTGAGGAGTTAGGGGTTTCCCCGTTCCCCTCCCTAATCAGGGCAAGCTGCGTTCACGTTAAGGCATGTTGAATTCGAAATGACAACCCACTCAATATTAAAAAATGAGATTTATTGCCCTGAAGTGGGAAGGAATGTGGTCGTGACAGGAAAGCTACTCTGGGTGACAGCAGAGCCCCCAGCTGAGAAACCTGTACATGCCCACACATCCCCCAGGGGCATCCCAGGGACTCCTGCTCTGAGGATGAGGGATCCTGGGCAGGATGTGGGAAACCTGAGCTCCCCCTGCATGCACGGTCGAAGCTGTTGGCACCAGACTGTGGTCAGGAAGAATCAATCTGAGGAGAGAGAAAGATGGAGGAAAGCCATCAGGGGAACCCCCCGTTCCCCAAAAGCCCCTACCTGCCTGCCATGTATCCCACAGAAGTTGATCTCTTTTTGTCCCCAAGTCATCTCCAAGCACCTCTCGTACAACTCCCCATATCACCCATCTCCCACTCAGTCACGCCTGTGACTTGTAACTGCGTGTGTGTAACCAGAACCCATCCTGGAGGATGTCCATGGTGTCCAATACAGGCCTTCCCACTCAACCACAAGATGGCCCTGGCATGCCTTCACAAACAGCACTGTTTGTGGCTCCCATGGCTGGCCCACCCACTCCAGACACCCTGACGTACCACCTGAGCAAGGCTTTCGGAAGTAGACGATGAGGGATAAGCCAACAATGATACCCAGTACACCCAGGCCAAAGGCCACACCACACAGCACATTCTCCAGAAGATCAGAGGGCAGTGCATTATGGGGCACTATGGAAAAAGGGGAGCATGTCAGCCTGGAGCCTGATCGGTGAGGCCCCAACCCCGGTGAATTACTTGGGCATCTAGGATGAAAAAGGAGAAACTGAGGCATGAAAAAGTTGAGATTGATCAGAGTGAGAATGGATTTAAACAAGATCCAAGTAGAGAAAGAAGGCCCTCCCATGGGTCCATCCTTTTTTGTCCCCAAAAAGAATCAGGCTTCCAGGGAGAAGTTTCTCACCCCAAAAGCCAATTGCGGTATAGCTGTCAATCTCATGAGTTACCATGCAGGTGTAAAGGTCAGAGGGTGCTGGTGTGAAGTTTAAGTAAGAAATGGCCTGGAAGGTGAATCCATCTACAGCTGACACAAAAGTGGGCCTGACTCCTTCCACAGGGTCCAAATGATGCTGCCAGTTCACCGTCAACGTGGGTGGGAAGAGATTACTGACAAAACAGACCAGCGTGTTGGGCTTGCCAAACTCCAGGGGCTTCAGCGTGAACATCTCAACAATAGGAAACCCTGGTGGGAGGATTGAGGCGTGAGGGAAGGAAGTAACTAGTTTAGATGGTACCCCTGAGTTTGGAAGGGAAGTGGCATACAGAGGGGAGGGCAGAGACAGAGTGGGGGATGGGCTTTGGGGGAAGAAATGAGGAAGGAGCTGGGGCTCTGAGGGAGGTCTTCTTCCAGGCAAGACCCAGACCTGAACCTAGGGGCAGAGCCAGACCCAGGCCATCCTGGGACCCTCCACCCTGATTCCCTGCAGCACTTTCTGTCTAAACCTCATATGAGCATCTAATCACATGCTAACTTCTTATTGGAACACAGGCAGATCATCAGATACTTTCTTTCTCCCCTTCCATCCTACTGAGCATGGCCAATACAAGCTCTAATATTCAGTAAGCATCAATTGGTCCCTCTTGCGTTCATCAAGTTCAATAGTTTTGAACACCTACTATGTTCTAGGCACATGCCTTTGCCCCAAAACAAAAACAGAGTGCAGATCATAGTTGGTAAGGGGAGACCCAGAAGGCATTAGATGGGCGAGCTGGTGTGAAAGGGAATAATTCACTGTATACATTGAGGAGGTTAAGAATGTAGCCCATCCCTCCACCCCCAGAGACACCCCTGACCTCTAGACACAGGGATTTGCCCTTCAAGTTTTGGTCCTATTTCCTGGATCATAGCCTGGCAGAATGTTTTGTCAAAGAAAATGGCAGAAGTATCTCCAAGCTTCTGAGCCCAGTCAGCAAATTCAGGCAGGCGAGGCACTCGGGTATTCTGGGAAAAGTCGAAGGAGAAAAGCTGGTCTCCATCATAGCTTTCAGAGAGTCCGAAGTTGGGACTCCAGTCCTGGCAGTACATCGTGTGCAGGAATGTGTGGTTTTGCAGATCATCCCGCCACACTGGAGTAAGAGCTGCAAAGGAGACAGAGCACGTCAGGGAAGTGAGAGTCTCCTTCTCCTCTTTAGCTTAGAAAACAGCAAGTCATGCTTCAGACGGAGGACGTAGTGTTGGGGTATAACCCCTTCTTGTGTCTCTTATTTAGGCTTTCCCTCCCAATGGGGGTGAAGAAAGAATTACAGGACCTCTCCAAAACTTCCCCTGCCCATAAAAAGGATAACTGTCTAAAGCTGTAAAAAGTACAATAGGTGTACTTTCTCAAGTGACAGATTCATTTGGGGCACCTGGGTGGCTCAGTCGGTTAAGCATCTGACTTTGGCTTAGGTTATAATCTCTTGATTTGTAGGTTTGAGCCCCCATGTCTGGCTCTGTGCTGACAGCTCAGGGCCTGGAGACTGCTTCGGATTCTGCATCTCCCTCTCACTTGGCCCTCCTTCCCTCCCTCTCTCTATATATATTAAAAATAAGTAAACATTAAAAATTTTTTAAAAATTAAGTGACAGATTTAGAGTCACAATGTTGGTTGTGTGTTTGTGTACTACACAGAGGTATCTGGCCAAGGAAGTAATTGGAAGCTGAAATCTAGCCTGCACTCTGCTCACCAAGCCATGCATCCTGGCACAGACATGCATCCTCCCAAAAAAGATACCTTCACCTAATTCACAGAAAGCCACCAATAGTGACTTGTGAAGGGCCTTGATGGGTTCTCTAGTCTTCGAAGAGGGTAAAGGGATGGTCATGGCCTCCCCAAGCCACAGATGACACTGGCCCCATCCTACCCCCAGACAACATGATAAACTGAAAAACTGATCTCCACAGACTTCTCTTCAGCTACTTCATCAGCACCAGACCTCTCTGAAAACGTCCTCACCTCCCTCAACCCTTTACCCCTGCAGTGTGACAGGACTGGGGGACTGGAGAGTTGCAGAAAATAATCCCTGTTCTTTGAAGCTCCCAGCTAGAATTCCTACACACACACACACACACACACTAGCAGGAAACTTCCTACCCAGTACGTAATACCTAGAATAATTGACATTTAGAGTAAGAGGGATATTCCAGATTATTTTTCCATTCTGCCCCATCCTTTACAGAGAAGGAAACTAAGGACCAATAAAGTTAAGAGAATTTTCAAGAATCACAAGGTGCATTGATGACAGAATGCAGAATAGATGCCTAAATAGAACAGTGAAAGAATATTTGCTTTGTTCAAATCCCAGCCGTGCCACTTTCCAAGTGTGTGAATTTGAACAAGTTACTTAAACTCTCTGAGTCTCATTTTTCCCCATCTGTAAAATGGATATTATAATCTCTGCTTCAAGTGTCTTAAGTAGAATATATAAAGCACCTGACATTGTTTGTCATCCATCCATAGTTGATCTCTTTCCCGACTCTGGTATTGTTTCTACTACTCCGTAATACTTCCCACCACTTACAAAGCACAGGGTTTCAAGTGCAAAGAAGATTTCAAATGCTCTGGGTGGCTCCCTAGGCTCTAACCCGTCAGAAGTCAATGAGAGGTACTGTCATACCTTCAGGGGCACTCCAGGAGTGGGGCAGCAGCCACAGGAGGTGGAACAGCCTTAGCAGTGCAGCTCCCTGCCTCTGCTCATGATCCATATCTTCACACCACACAGTGTGCTAGAAGCTACCAACCAGCTGACCCAGGTCCCAGACTCCTCCCCCAGATCATGTTCCGCCAGCTACTTCCAATAGTTGCGCTTGTCATTTGGCAAAACCAATCACAGAAGCATAGGGTTTAACATCATCAGTTGCTGGGGAGAGACGTGGTGCCAGCAACCTCCTGAAGACTTGGCTCTTTCACCAGGCCAGAATGGGGTGTGTACTCGGACTGAGAGGACAATGGAGGAATGTCTGCCTCCTGCTGGGGAGCCCTATTTAGTATCAAATTGTCAACCTCAGCCAAGAGGAGTCCAACCTAAGCGATGGACTCTTCAGAGCAGCACCACCTCCTGGCAGAATGTTGTGGGGGGGAAGCTCCTCTTCCCCCAAGCAAACTCTCAGGGCTCTTCAGAACCCGCCTCCTCCTCTCTCCAGCCCTCCCTCCTCTTTCTCAGTGAGGTATTCTTCAGACATTAGCTCTAATTCAGTCTATAGAAATACATGGATAGGTGCCTGGGTGGCTCAGTCAGTTGAGCATTTGGCTCTTGATTTCAGCTAGGGTCATGAGTCCCCTGGTGTGCTCAGCCCAATGCTGGTATTGGGCCCAGTGCTAAAAATACAAAGATGAATAAAGGGTATTCCTGAGTTCAAAGAGCTTAAAGTCTAGTGGTGGGATCAATAAATAAATAATTACACAACAAGTAACGTATTCAAATAGGAATGTGCCAAGTGTTTTGAAAGTAGTAACTTCATGAGGATGCAGGAATAGGTGGAACATAATCAAAGCTGCTAAGAATCTTAAAGGAAAGACAATTTTACCAGCAGAATATGAGGGAAGAGAAAGCATTCCAGGGCAAGGGGTATTCAAGTCTGTGGAGGTCAAAGGCATTCAGAGCTCCTTCCTTTGGTCGGATATAAGTGTTATGGAGGCTACTCATTGTGTCCCTGTTTGGTAATGGTGTGTGGGGGTGTGTCAAGACGAGCTAGAAATTCAAGCAGGGATCAGATCACACAAACCATGTTATACCACAAAGAGGGACTGGCTTTTAGAGATATGAAAACTGAGAAATGACACACTTATTTTAACTTATAGAAAAACTGGCCTGACATTTTAAAGGATGGACTGGAGCTTGGAAAAAAAATTGAGGCAAAACTTCTGGTCAGAGTGTATAGTATATTACATGGAAATAAAAAGTTGCACACCCACACACTATCCTTTTTTTTTTTAGCAATATAACAATAATTTAGGTGAGAAATGATAAGAGCCTGAATTAAATCATGAATAGAGGAGATGGAGGGAATAGAATATTGAGACAATTAGGAGGTAGAATCTAAAGGGCTTGGCTACTGATTCACCAAGTAGAAGGATTAAGGATAACACTAAAGGTTTCTAGATTGGTGACTGGGTGGGTGGTCAGTGATGGACTACACTGAAATAGAAAAGAATGCCTTAGAAGAAGGTTTGAAGAAAAGAATGAGTTCAGAAATACTGGGTGGCTCAGTTGGTTAAGTGTTTGACTCTTGATTTCAGATCGGGTCATTATCTCACAGTTGGTGGGATCGAGTGTCAGCTCCACAGTGACAGCATGGAAGCCTGTTTGGGATTCTCTGTCTCCCTCTCTCTCTGCCCCTCCCCTGCACGCTTGCATGCATGCACACACACACTCACATACACGCTCTCTCAAAATAAATAAACATTAAAAATATTTTTAAAAAGGAAAAGATTGAGTTCAGTATTGTACATGTTGAATCTGAGATTCCAGTTGTAGAACCACTCAGGAGGCGTGTGGTATATCAGTATGGATCTCAGGTATGTGCTGAAAACCCTCAATTTTGGGGTCATCAGCACAAATGTTGAAGCAGAAGCAGTGGGTAAAATCATGCAAGTAGACTATGCAGATGGATCAGGAAGTGACACAAGGGCATAAGTCTATATGGGTTCCAACCCCAATTCTCTTACCAGTTGCCTTTCAGGATCTAGTCAGGAACATGGAGCCACTCTAGGTATTTCAGACTGATAGAATTTAATACAGAGAATTGGTCCCAAACATATTAAAAGGGCAAGAAGTGCAAAAGAAAGAAAGTATTATCTGGAGGCAGAAATATGAAAGAGGAATACCTAGAAATAAGAAGCTACTATTGGCCCTGACATGGAATCCGTGTCTACATCTGCTGTTGCCCTGGGACAGACATCATCATAGTTGGTTCTGAACCTACTGAAAAGATTCCATTTTCATCCAGGCTGGATCACTGAGAAGGTACTTCCTCTACCTCAAAGGCTTGAGTCCAGAATCACCCATTCTTGCTGCAGCCATATCTACCAGCAACTGCCACTCTGTTAGTAACTAAAGCAGGAAGCTTCTCAGTTTCTCTTGCCTTCTTATCTCCCACCAGTGCCTCCTATTGAGAGATCTAACAAGAAGCCAGCTGGTTAGGACATACCTTGGGAAGTACATACCTTGCAGATGCCTAGGCTGAAACATCCAGAACACAATATAGGCTGAAACATCCAGAACACAATATAGAAGGGAGTGGCACTGACACCAGAAAATAACCAGTACACTGAAATGGATTCTTCTGTAGGAATCTAGTGACACCAGGGGCATCCAGATAGTTACAACAGCAAAAAGAAGAACAAGGAAGAATCAGATTCAGAAGAGCAGAGGTGTTCCATAAAGAAGGACAAGGTCAGCATAATAAAATGCTACCCAGAAGTCAAGGAAGGACTGAAGTGTCCTTAGATTTGGTAATTATGAAACGGTTGACAAATGTATTGAGAGCAGTTTCAGTGTTGTAGTGGGAGTTGACTCCAGATTGTGGTGGGCTAAGAAGTAAGTGGGAGGTGAGGAAGAAACTGTCACTGTATATGCTGGAAGTCTAATAGAGAAGAAAAAGAGAGAAAGACAGAAGGGGTGGGGGAAGACGCAGTGAGAAATATCTAATGTGGCAATTAAGTAATCTTAGAAATTAATCTATGTGGATATGGTCTATCAGTATTTCTCAGACTTTCAAAATCCATCCTCCGTTCTGAAAAATAAATAATAGCCAAAATCAAAAACAGCCCTATGTATGACCTCCTGGATATCCTGAAACACTAATGTGTATATTGTATGTGAGCACACGTGTGAATGCGTGTGGTGGGGGAGGGTGGAGTGTCAGGCTTGGGATAGGGTTTGGAAATCATTGTGTTACACTCCAAGAAAACAGAACATTTTCCCAGTGTCCCACTCTTTATGGGCTAACACATCAGCAGTTCCTGCTGTGGGAAGAGTCAGGTCCTTGGGGAAGCAGAAACGAAGTTTATGACATCACCAGGACTACAGGGGGAGACACGGAGCACTCAGCCACCTAGAGTCTAAACCAGGGGTCTGCAAACTTTTTCCAGAAAGGACCAGAAAGTAAACATTTTAGGCTTTGTGGGCCACTCATCTCTGTCTGGTATGCTCAGCTGCAGCATGAAAACAGCCACAGGCAACATGTAAATGAAAGAACATGGCTGTGCTCCTGGTTTCCTCCCAGCTTTTCCTCCCACTTCCTGGGCATCTCCTTCTCAGTCTCCCGTGTAGACCTCTTTGTTCCAGTTACTCTTTAAACATTGACATTCCCTGGAGTTTTGTTCTCAACTTTCTCTTTGACTATGGACACGGAAATTTTAATTTCATATAATTTTCATGATATGAAATGATTCTTTTTTTTTAATTTTTTTCCCCCAACCATTTAGATCTTGGACCATGTAAAAGGTGGCAGGCTGGGTCTCGCTCCCTACCACAGAATTCTGAACACTGTTCTGTGTGTGTGGTCAGAATTGGGATGGGGGACTCAAAATAAACCAAAGAAGATCTCCATTCCCCCTTGAGGGTGGCAATTGGTTAATGAATACATTGTGGCCCAGATAACAACAGATTGTTTGGGAGGAGATTTGACGGGAAACAGGGGGAAGAAGACTGGGTGGGAGGGCTAGGAGCAGGGACAGCAGACATTGCAACTACTCTGGGTGGGAGGAAAGAGGCAACAGGGTCTAAGTTCTCCACAGACTAGAGTGTGGACAATATCAGGATGAGCAGAAATATAACCACCCATCATCGAGACTCTGGCGAGGTGTGGTTAATTCTTTTCTCTTGCAGTATAAATAGTACCAAGTTCAAACAGTTATGACTACCCTTCCCTCTATGCAATCTTTCTTCCTGTCAAGACTCTCCAACAAGTTCCATAACAGATATTTCAAAAAGAGTCTCTAATTAGTTTGGGAAGTGGTAATTAAGGGTGAGAGGAGCAACTCACTGTCTATTTTGGTCATTAGATAGGAATGTCCCTGAAAATAATGACACCTGTAAATCCAGCAGGCCATGGCTGTCTAACAGCTCTCCTATCCCTTTCTAGTACCACCCCTATTTATTTTTCCTAGCAATGCCGAATCTCCAGAAAAAGGTGTGAATTACCACCTTTCAACTTTTAACACTTGCCATTTAATCCGTAACCCTCAACAATGAGATTGTTCACCACTATTTTTGTGTTGCCAAATCAAATGGACTCTTTGTAACATTTGACCCTGTTGGCCATGCCCTACTTCCTCAGATCGTCTATTTTTGGCATCCTGAATGGAACTCTCTCCTAGTTTTTCCTTCCACTTCTCTGGCGTCCTCTTCTCCATCTTCTTTGTGGACTCCTTTCTTAAGACTTACTGTTCCCTGGAGTTTTATCCTCAACCTTTGCTCTTCTTATGTTACATTTGTCCTGGATGGCATACCTTTAGTAGCCACCTATTTGCTGATATCTTCCAAATTTACCCCTTGAGCTCAGATCTTGCCCTGAGTTCCATACTACCCATATAGCTAACTTTTAGCTTTTTAGGCATTTCCACTTGAACTCCACAGCAGTTCTCAAACTGTATTCTCCACAAAAGTGTCCCTTAAAAATTTTTTCAAATGTAAATTAGATAGTAGCAATTTTTTTTTATTTTTAAATGTATTTCAACACAGAGGTAATAAGACACTGAATACATTGACATGATAAT